TCTATCTGCCAGTAACTCTGTGACTGATACATTCTGAATTTCTATTTCCAAGGACGAATAAAGACTAAATCTATTTTGCTTTATTCAATTATGAGATTTTTGTTTGTGAAGAGATATAAGAGCAGGACAAAGGAGAAAAACAAAAACAATGTTTGAACAGATGGGGTTTGTTTTTTCTGACAAGAGGCTTATAGACAGTCAAGGTAGGAGACAAGAAGCAGACCCAGGGGACAATAAAGACTGTCTGTTGATGGGATTTGGTGAAGCACATGCAGGGAAGGCAATGTCTGAAGAGAGGCGGTACGTTGCAGAAGTCACATAAGCATAGAATGCACAAGGCATAAACACTTAATGTTTTAAGTTTTAAGGGTTTCCCTTTATGGTAAACCACCAAGACATATACTTTAATTTCTTATTGAAAAAGAAAAAACATGGCACTGTAATTTTCTCTTTCTTTCTTTTTTTTTCTTTCCTTATTTATCTCCCTTTTCTTTCTTTCTTTCTTTCTTTCTTTCTTTCTTTCTTTCTTTCTTTCTTTCTTTCTTTCTTTCTTTCTTTCTTTCTTTCTTTCTTTCTTTTTCTCTCATCTTGAATGTAGGACACCTAATCGGGTCACACCCCTCTCCATAAACCATGTGCAATAACTTGCCTCCTTGTACCATCATCACAATAAAAGAATGTGAAATCACCATGACAACAACGTGCGTCGTTCCACACCACCCAATAACAAAATGCGGCTGAACTAGAAAGGGGTCCATGACAGTGGCCTCGTGTCACCACACAAGTAGGGACAATGAAGAGGCTGACATGTCTTCACAGGCAGGAATAATCGAGGGTAAAGGGGTGTGGTGGACTGATGTAGAGTAAAAAAATAAAAGGTTAAAAATCATCAAATTATCGATTTCTATAGAAATACATATGTCACATAATGAATTCAAGTTGATCCTATTCTTATAGAAATCACCTGTAAATCTATAACGATTTAAACTATAATCCGCCTGTAATTATGACATAATACTCTGGAGCAAAATAAATAATTAAATAAAAAATAACGCTCAGTGTGTGACGACAGCGTATGAATCTCCCCAACCTGTGGATCGTCCTCTGTGTCAGGAAACAAAGACATCACTCCTCTCTATCATGATGCCTCTTCTTCTTTTTTTTTTTTTTTGCAAAGCCCTCATTGAAAACGGTGTTTATATCTTACATATAATACCAAAAACCTTTGCATCAGTGAAGCAGTGAATGAATCGCGCCATTACCCGCGTTTTGGCGTGCGCTACATCCACAGCAGACACGCCCTCACTGTTTAACTACAACTAATATTAATTGCCTCTATCTAAGTTAATTAGCGTGCGGAACAACATTGTTCATGGTGAATAATCAATGACGAGCAGTAAGATGAATGCAAGACCGTTTTTTCCCTTTGGATATACACAGCAGTGGAAATGTAAGAAATCAAATATGCATTAATTAACTTACCTGTTGTTTTTTTGGAGGACCTCTGGCTTAAAAAAAGGTATTATGGTCCACGGAAGGAAAATATTCTAAGATTTGGTTTAGGAAAGTCTGCTCATCTGTCAGTATGTTGCACAATGATCATATAGACACGACTTGTGGAAAATCAGAGCTGATTACAGCAACTGCTCCTGCAGCAACAGCTTTCTCAGTGCGTTGGATCTTTTCTGTCTCTACCCTTTCTGTCTCTCCTCGGATTTGCTCGCTCCCCATAGATGGGCAACATGTTTCTCAACTGCATCACATTCACTTCTTGTCATATATTTCCAGTAAATGTTCAACTACTGCTGCATTAGATTATCTTTCAAAACTTTATTAGTGATTAATTTCAAATGTTTGATTGAGAATGTGATGTAATTTGAAAGCCTTTACTTTTGCTCATTTTAACTTTAATTCTATTTTTAACAAAATATTACATAACAAAAGTGTAAGATGTCTTTTAGTGTGTAGATGTAGGACTAATAAAAAGCATATTCACATACATTGAGGAAAATAAGTATTTGAACACCCTGCTATTTTGCAAATTCTCCCACTTATCATGGAGGGTCTGAAATTGTCATTGTAGGTGCATGTGTACCATGAGAGACATAATAATACATAAAAAACATCCAGAATTCACAATATATGATTTTTAAAGTATTTATGCAGCTTGAATTCTGACAATCAAAGACCGATTAGTCTGCCTTCAAAATGTCCTGCTCCACTCCATTTATTGTCCTTAATTAGATGCATCTATATGAGGTTGTGTGCTGCATAAAGATACCCTGTCTACTCCATACAATCAGTAAGAATCCAACTACTAACATGGCAAAGACCAAGGAGCTGTCCAAAGACACTAGAGACAAAATTGTTACCTCCACAAGACTGGAAAGGGCTCAGAGGAAATTGCGAAGAAGCTTGATAAAAAAAAAAAAAAAGTCCACTGTTGGAGTAATCATAAGAAAAGGGAAGAAGCTAACCATGACTATCAATCTACACCAGACTCGGGGTCCATGAGTGATTCTACCTCATGGGGATCCAATGATCCTAAGAAAGGTGAGAAATCAGCCCAGAACTACACTGGAGGAGTTGGTCAATGACCTGAAACCAGCTGGGACTACCATTTCCATGGTTACTACGGGTAATACAATAAGATGTCATGGTTTGGAATCAGGGCTGCTCAGTGGGACAGTGTCTGGCACTGCTGCTTTGCAGCAAGAAGGTTCTGGGTTCGATTCCTGGCCTGGGATCTTTCTGCATGGAATTTGCATGTTCTCCCTGAGCATGTTCTCTCCGGTTACTCCGGCTTCCTCCCACAGTCCAAAAACATGACTGTTAGGTTAATTGGCTTCTCTAAATTCTCCTGAGGTGTGAATGGTTGTTTTTCTCTGTGTTGCCCTGCAATGGACTGGCGACCTGTCCAGGGTGTACTCTGCCTCTTGCCTGTAGAGAGCTGGAGGTAGGCACCAGCACCCCTCGCGACCCCACTCGGATAAAGCTTGTCAGAAAATGGATGGATGGGTTTGGAATCATGCATGACACGGAAGGTTCCCCTACTTAAACCAGCACATGTCAATGCCCATCTTAAGTTTGCCAATGACCATTTGTATGATCCAGAGGAGTCATGGGAGAAAATTATGTGGTCAGGTCAATCATGTCCAAAATCTAACTTTTTGGTCATAATTCCACTAACTATTTTTGGAGGAATAAAAAATGAGTACCATCCCAAAAACAACATCCCTACTGTGAAGCATGGGGGTGGTAGCATCATGCTTTGGTGGTGCTTTTCTGCACATGGGACAAGGTGACCTCACTGTATGAAGGAGAGAATGACTGGCAAGATTTTGGGGAAAAAACTCCTTCCCTCAATTAGAGTATTGAAGATTGGTGGAGGCTGGGTCTTCCAATATGACAATGACCCAAAGCAAACAGGATAACCAAGGAGTGGTTCTTTAAGAAGCATATCAAGGTTCTGGTATGGCCTAGCTGGTCTCCAGACCTAGACCCAATAGAGAATCTTTGGAGGGAGCTCAAACTCAGTGTTTCTCAGCAACAGCACAGAAACCTCACTAATCTAGAGAAGATCTTTGTGGAGGAGTGGGAAAAAATCCCTCCTGCAATGTGTGCAAACCTGGTGAAAAACTAAAGGAAACGTTTGACCTTTGTAATTGCAAACAAAGGCTACTGTACTAAATATTAACATTGATTTTCTCAGGTGTTCAAATACTTACTTGCAGCCGTTTCATACAAAAAATAGTAAAAATAAAATAAAAAATCATGCATTGTGATTTCTGGATTTTTCATCGTTTTTAGATTACGTGTCTTACAGTGGACATGCACATATGATGACAATTTCAGACTCCTCCATGATTTCTATATCCTTCCTTTAGACAATCATCATAATAAAAGCAGTGGTTAAATTCACATTACTTATGGCAATGTTGACAAGGTACCACATTCTTCTAAAATAATAAATCATCTTATTGATGAAGCCTCACTAAAGAGGGGGAGCTCTAAAAGTAACTGGTAGACTTTGAATGATGAAACCCAGATGTCCATATTATCTTTGGAAGCAGATTACATGGCTTCCAAAATCTTTAGGGACTTTGTATACTTCACAATTGACCTAAAGAAATGTGGTCACTCTAGTTTTTCCTCAACCTCCTTGGCTTAGATTTTTAAATGAAATACAAAATGTTATTCTATCTGAAATCTTTGTAACACTGACTAGCCAAGTTATTCTGAGTTGTGCACATGCAACACTTTTTTCCTTCCGATATGCTACAGCTTTTTTGGTAATGATCGTTTTTCCCTCTTTAACAATTGTCTGCTGGATCCTAGTTGCAGATGTCACCCTGATTGTGTAGCCAGTTTCTGTTGGTATATTCTAAACTGAATTTTGATCTTCATTAGCTGCACAGTAGTCATGGAATTTAAAAAAATCTAAATTTTCACTTTGTTTGCTACAAACCTACGTATAATTAGTTTTAAAAAGTTAAATTTGACTGAAATAACTGATACTGCTGATAAAAATATTTTTTTGTGCATATTGAAATCTTTTAGATGTACCTGTTATTTTCAAATTGGAGGAATAACAGGGCTGCCTAGTGGAGCGGTGGGTAGCACTGCTGCCTTGCAGCAAGAAGGTTCTGGGTTTGACTCCTGGCCTGGGAGGTTTTTGCATGTTCTGAGCATGCATGGGTTCTCTCCGGGTACTCCGGCTTCATCTCACAGTCATAAAACATGACTGTTAGGTTAATTGGCTTCTCTAAATTCTCCTTAATTGAGTGTGTGTATCTGTGAAAGCTTGTTTGTTCCATTCTTCTCTGTGTTTCCTTGCGATGGACTGGGAACCTGTACAGGGTGTATCCCACCTTCGCCTGTAGTCAGCTGGAGGCACCAGCGACCCCAGCAGGGATAAAGCGTGACAGAAAATTGATGGGAAGAATCACAGGGGCAATGGTGAAACAAAATCCACAAAACAAAACAAAATTCCAAATACATGTGTTAATGTTTAATTTTGGAAGAAACTAAGAACAAAGTGTTGCATTTCTATGTGGTAAACAGACAACAATAAACAGATGAAGCCCAAAAAAAACACACCTTTGCACAGTTTGTTCATATATATATATTCCTTCATTATTTGTAAAGTGTATCTTTAATCAAAGGGATCACAGTATAAATGTCATTAAAAGAAATTCAATAGAGGAGGGTGAGGCCTTTTTAAAGCCTGATTATTGTAAGAATGAAACACCCATGATCAAAAACACAAACCTAAATATAATAAAATATAATTTTTTTATCCTTCTGGACTTCTGCTAAGCCAACATTCAAACTTTTGTGAGTCTCTTTATCAGTCTGGAGTTCCTTCTTATTAGGCTGTTCTGATGTGTGAGCAATTTCTTTGTCAAAGAGGAGCATGTAGTTCAGACTTCATTAGAAAGAGTTGAAGATGGAGGTACATCAAGGTTTTTCTTGCTGTGAGAAATAAAAACAAATCCAACTGTAAAAACCAGTGTAGGCTAGACATATAAAATTGACCATATATATTATTTTTTTTCTTTTCTTTAGTCTTACCTGCATTTTGCTATAGATCCAGGGGAGAACACTGCTGACTCGTGTGTAAACACCTGGCTTGTTTTTTTCACCACAGCCCACTCCCCAGCTGGTGAGCCCTACTAGGTACCAACGTTTGTCAGCCTGACAGACCAGAGGTCCCCCGCTGTCACCCTAAATAGAATGCATTATTGTCAGTGAGCAACAACTTTTAATTGATTTTAAATTTTGTATATTCAAGTAAACAGGGAAATTCCCAAAGTATTGTAATCTGTTTCATTATTTTCTTTCACTGCACTCTGTTTCACAATAGGAACCTGCATGAATCTGCACTAAACGTACTGATGCAATAATTCCAATCAAGTTAATTAAAGTGCAATAATTTACACACATTTCTGCATCAATTTACTTTTTTTTTTAAACAAACACAGTAAATACAAAGCTTGACATTTTTTGTTTTATTAATGTCATTGTTGTATTATTTATCTAAGAAGGCCCAGCATTACACCTGATCTTAAATAATTTTCTTAATGCTGTACTTTATAGCAATTGCATTTTGGCACTCTGTCTACATGAAACAATCAGCTATAGTATTCAATGATATCACAGTATCTTAAATGAATTTACTGAGTTAATGGTTGGTTTAGAAAATACCTGGCAGGAATCTTTGCCTCCCTCCAATTTCCCAGCACAGATCATGTTTCTGGTCACTGCACCTCCATATACTGATATGGAGTTACACACCCTTGTGTCTATGATGTCCACAGTCACTTCCATCAAATCCTTGGAGGCAGTAGCTTTCATTGGAGACAAAGAGGGTGACTGAGGAGTGTAAAAAATGGCTATGCATAGTTTATACCTTACATTTAGATTCAGTATCATGGTGTAGGAACCATTTATTCCTTATTCACATTACATTCTTAGATTGATCTAATTAGATAGTACCACTTTTTCTTTTGTGTGTTATTGTATAATTATTTAATTATTTAATTATGAAGGTACTGTACAAGCTAGTGACAGTTTCCTCATGTTTCTTTAGAGACGTTGACCTTATTTTCAAAGGCTTTACCTTGCTATTGTTTGACTAATAATAGCTGCATTGACAACCATGACAGTGCAAAACAATTGTTTTTTTTCTGGTTTGACTGCATTCTCAATTAATTTGTCTCTACATTTGATTCTGCTGTAATGCTGTATTATAGCAATGTTTCAACTTCCTGCATGATGGTTAGTAAACATGGAGCTTCCTTATTTATAGTTCCTAAATATATGGACAAAAACATGAATTAGTGCTGTGGTCTTTTCTTAGTTCATGTTAGAGCATTTATTCTGGATTAAATTAACAGTCTAATTGCCAGAGCAAAACTTTTAAAGCTTTCTGAAAAATCATATGCAATGTTTTTAGCTCATGGGCTAATAAACCTGTGGTTTTACAAGATACATGCAAAACTATTTGACATTTAGTAAACCATTCTCACCTTTTAATAATACAACCCACTTCATTTTTTTTTTTTTTTTTTTTTTACCTGATCCTGCCTCTGTAGTGCCAAAACCAGAAGTCCAGCAACTGGTTCCCTGTGGAAAGTCCTGACCCACAAGTGGAAGGCAAGCTGGCTGAACATTATCTGGAAAACACAAATGTATTTTCTTTTACTTTAGTGAATGCATAAGTTGCTTTCTGAAAGAAAAAAAAAAACAGGCTTAGTTACATTTATCAAATTATCAGTGATTCTGGATCGAGCAATTAAAAGCTGTGGTTTACCAATATAGAGAAAACATGTCCAATGAAGCTATGGTCCTGTTTATGTGTTTTTTTGTGTGTGTGTGTTTTTTTTTTTTTTTTTCTGGTTTTGCCAGTCTTACAGATACGTTTTGAATCAGAAGCATCTTCATTGAGGGTATCCAATTACAGCAGTGTTTTGACGCCACCCGTTCCCCTGACATCACGTCCTGAATCATGCCCCCACGGCTTCTTTACATTCAGAGAAAACCCTTAATCTCTCTCTTCCTTATGGACTTGGGTCAGGAGGCACGGGAGAGACCCAACCATCCAGCTGGACATCACGTTAAACAAGGTGCAATTTCTGCATCCGTAGTCAATTTTTGCAGTCAAAAAGGACTGCATCCCTCTCTGAAAAATAGAGGCGTAGCCAGAAATTTTTTACAAGGTTGGCCAGGTAATTACCAATGTACACTGAGGGGTGGACAAAAGTAGATAGGCACCAAAACCTCACGGTCAATCTACACTGTTCCAACAGAAAACAAGAAGAAAAACATCCATATTTTCTAAATAAAAACAAACTATACTTTCCCAAAGACTTTGCTAACAAATAGAAGAATATATTCAAACATCTGTGCTTTCTAAATAAAAAGGTATAGTGGATAAAATCCTTTCAGGTTTGAGTTTTGGGCGAGCATCTTTTGCATTGTCATTACTTGCCTACTTTTTTCAATAATCATTCTGCATAAAATTGATATACTAATATCTGCATAAATTGATTATTTAATACATTTTTATTAAAATAGTTATTTATCTATTTCACTGAAGACTCCTAGATGACTTGCAGAGACGCATAATTTTCTCTTTACCCCATAAAACACAAAATCTATTTCTGCTTGAATTCTGTATTTATCATTTTTAATGTTAGTATATTGATGTGCACAAGGAGCCACAGTGTTTTTGTTGTCAAGTAATTGTTCATATATGAAAAATTAAAATTTTTTGAATATTACCCTTGAGATTATTACTCTTGCTACCATCTGTATTTGAGGGAAATAAATGGTAGGGCTGGCCACAGGGGTGGCCAATGATTGACTAAGGGTGGCCATGGCCACCCCTGGCCCCCTATCTAGTGAAAAAGCTCTGAGCTGCAAACCCAGCACAGCAATGCTGCTGAAGCCCGTGGACTGACTCAGTTTTTCACAGTGACCAAGACGGACATAAGAGCCAGGACTGCTGGAGTAAAGCTGTCCCTCTATCTACCCAATCTGTACCTGTAGCACGATCCGTACATTTGCACAAGCAGATATACATCCAGGTCGCCCTTGATTTTACTTTGTAAAAAAGAGCTAAACTAAGTTTTTCCCTCACCAAACATAGTAAGCATGCTAAACTACATTGTGTTAAAGGTAAATAATGTATTTCCTGAGAAAATAAATGCATTAAATTACTTTCTGTTTTATCACTCATCTGTGCCCATCTGTACCGGAAAAGGGATCCTATGCTACTTCTGGGAGCTAACTTTTTCAGCTTTAGATTTAAACAAAAATCCAGTCTTTTTGAGTTTTATTATTTTAAATTTGTGTTAACCTTATAGTATATGCTACGAGATCTAAAGAAAAAAACAACTTAAATGCCGATAAACATAATTTGATTATATTTTGCTGGACTACTCTGAGCATGTCCGGTCATGTCAGACAAGTAGTTTAATGAAGAAAATGTAAAAAGCATGAAATTTTCGGAGGAAAGTCATAAAACATTTTTTAATGATGTGTATTAGCATTCTTTAGTTATTTAAGGATAGAAATAATAATTTTTAGTACCATAATTACATTATCTATGGCGACCTGGATGAATATCTGCTTTCACATGTGCAAATAAGCCAGCGGTACAGATCGTGCGGATCGGGTAGCGACAGTCCCCGAAGCACATGCTCATAATGGAAACAGACCAGAATCCATCCACTTCTCCTCCCTTGAGACCACAACGAGCTAAGGATCTTTATCATTTAATAGGTATCTTGCCTAGGCAAGTAAAATTAGTAATTAGATGCAATTCGGTTGGCCTGTTGACTAGCTGTTGCTAGCTGTCATTATATGTGTTCGCCGCTAAGCTGTTGTTGTCATGGCAACAAAAGTGCTGCATTTCCCACATCATCACTCATTTTCATAAACATATCAATGTTGCCACATCAAAACATTGTGTTTAGTGGTAAATGTTCATTATTGGATTAAGCGAAACTTGATTGATTTGACTGTTACACATCTACACTGTTACACCATTGTCACACATCTGTTTGCTCTACAGTATATCATTTCTATTGTTAATCTGATGTACATCCCTCAGACTGAACATTATCAGACTCAAGAAAATATTTAAATGCTTCTATGTTTACTGATTCTTTTATGTATTGTTTTATATTTCAAGTAGTATATAGTGTTTGCATAATTTATTCGACATAATAATACCATGATAGGGATTGTTAGGTTTAATAAATAAAGAACCCCATCTGTTTCAGTTGTGTTAGTCAGTGATTATTTACACAGCAATGACTGGGTGTCTAAAAAAGGAGAGTCTACCTCTTTCAGTTAACAACTTAAATAGACAGAGACTAATGGTTTCCGTGCCTCTGCTTGAATTATGGTGAAGTCTTCTTGAATTTTAACAGCTGATTGAAAATGTCCAGCCACAAAGGTAAGTGGTGAATAACATCTTGTAATTGAGCAAAATGTCAGTTATAATCATTTAACTAAAGATAAATATTTGGATTTACCCTTGATTTGAATGACATATTACTTAACTATATCCCCCTGTTCTACTGTAGTTTGTAATATATTCAGAATATGCTGATAAAATTTCCCAACACCAGTAACACAATGTACTGCCTCCCTCTAGAAGGTAATTGAATCCCATCAGACGGTTGCTTTTTTCCCCAATAAGTAATGCAAGATAAGTGTTGCAGTTCTGATGTGTGCCCCAGATTTAATATACAATTTAAGCCGAGATAAGAGTTTCGTGTTCTCATCTAGAAAAATCTTGACAAGAACACATAAAGTATGTCAATTAGAACAGGAGCATAATCTTGACATTACAACACAGCTCGCCTAGACCTGCATTTCGCCTTCAGTTATTAATAGTCTCTAGATAATTATAAATTGTTAAATTTTCATTTTGTGGGGGAATAATGATTAACACAGTCAGATAAACACAAATAAAATTAACATTTTGCCAAAAAAAACAAAACACCCGCTATCAGAGCCAGTGGTACTTCACCCATGACTATGCTGCAGCAGAGCCCCCAAACACCAGACGTCATTTAGACATTAGTTTTAAGGCTGAATTTTGTCGGTCTGTCATAGTCTTGATTTATTCCAGAAATATTTGTTGAGCTGTCTGATTTTGTACTACTTTAGTCCAATAATAGACATTGAAAAGACGTTGAAAACATCTAAAAGTCGGTCCCAAGAACGTTTAGGCTATACACAGTATACTGGTTTAAGCTATACCTGGTAGATAATTTAGAATATAACTAACCCTGAAAACACTGTCCCTACCATAAAAGTATGGTAGCATCGAACTGTGCAAATACATTTCTTCAATAACTATATCAATAACCCCTCCCACCCCCACCATGGACTGTTCTCCCTGCTGCCCTCTGGGAACAAGCTTTGCAGCATTCAATGCAGGTCCAGCATATTCCAAAACAGCTTCTTCCCCACTGCCATCAGACAGCTGAATGTTGGAAGAAAGAAAAAACTGAAAAACTGAAAAAACAAAACAAACAACAACAACAAAAAAAGCTGGACAAAAAGCTGAATGTTAATAAAAACTGCAAATCATGTCACAGTCTCTGCATCAAACTGACCATATCAATGTTTTTACACCATTTTTTTTCTCCCAATTTTTTTATTTTATCACTGCTGCACTTTAAGAAATGCAAATGTCATGAAAGCTTTACAAAATGTAATTTTGTAAAGCTTTCATGACATTATATACACTATGTGTATACAACATGACAATAAAGTTTGTATAAGCCTAAATATGGATAGGCTAGCTTGTCACAGTTAATGACAAGATGGATGCAACAAAATACAATTCATTCTGGAAAAAAAAATGCTATTATGCTACACAAGAAAATTTCAGTTTGTAAAAACCATGCAATCTTGTCCTCCCCCCTTCACAGTAATGCACTACTTTGAGTTGGTATACTATACTGGTATACATTTAATGCAATGCACACTACAAAGCTAAGGTTACCTTTGTAAAAAAGTGAAGTATGATTATATAAAAATGATACTTACCATTAAAACTAACTGGAGATGTGAGTTTCAGTAGAGCAACATCTTGGTCATTGGTCTTTTGGTTGTAATTTTTGTTGAGTATGATCTTTTGAACCAGGTAGGGGCTGGATAGTGCATTCAGAGATATAATTCCAGCATACACTTTCCAGTGCTCAGTAGCGAGGAGCCCACTGTGGCCATATATATATACAAAAGTCAGTTCATTCACATATTCAGACGACAAACAAACATTTCTACAGTATTCATTTTCATATTCTATGATAGAAACTTACTGCATGGAAAAACATATGATAAGAATTATCACTCACCTGGGGAAACAATGAGCAGCAGTCAGCACAAAATCTGGCGAGATTAGGACTCCTCCACAGACATGGGACCCACTGAATTGAAGAGACACCTGCCATGGCCACTGACCCGATTTAGCTATAGTGCCCCCTATGATTCGAGATGTAGATGGCTGTTTACCACAATCTATGGAAGAGAATGGTACATAGAGACAATTATTTTTAGATGTATACTTCTAGAAAGATAAAGAAAAGGAATTGTAATATGCGCATCTCATTAGCATTTTTTTGTGTAAGGTTGGATGTTCTCCCTGTGGATGCGTGGGTTCTCTTCGGGTACTCCAGATTCTTCCCACAGTCCAAAAACATGACTGTTAGGTTGATTCTCTAAATTCTCCTTAGGTGTGAGTGTTTGCATGAATTGTTGTTTGTCCTGTTTGTCTGTGTTGCCCTGCGATGGACTGGCCCATTGACAGCTGGATATAGGCAAGAGCATCTCTTGCGAACCCAGCTGGGATATGCATGATGGATGGATGGATGGATGGATGGATGGATGGATGGATGGATGGATGGATGGATGGATGGATGGATGGATGGATGGATGGATGGATTTTTTGTGTATTTGTAATAGTGTACCATTCACTGAGCTCCATTGGCTACACTTAGCTGCCTGCATTAAATGTAAGTGACCTGTTAACAATAAGAAGTAGTTATTGGAACAGCTCATTTCCCGTTGAATCCTCTTGCAAAAGTTTGCTTCCACAGTCTTCAATGCATTATTGAAGAGCAGTGTCTACACCAGGCTCAACATGACAAGCCAAAAACTTCATGTTACATTCCACGTTTGCAGAACAACCCACTCAGTGCAACTGAAATAGGTAGCGCTCAGCTGCTTTATCTTCAAGAGTCTCCTATAGACCCAACTAGAGAGCACCTCCAGCCCCAGCACCATAGTCTCTACCCACTCCTCTGCACCATCATTTTGTACATTTCTATGCCTGCCCTCAATTTCTGCACTGTGACCTCTGGTTAATTAGTGGTCCTCTTTCTAAGTAGCTTAATGATAGCTTTGATATTAACAGTATGGTTAAATGATTAGCCTACCTTTGTTTTCCTTGCTAAAGTACCTGCTTGATGTTTTACTTGGTGTACTCCTAAACAGTCAGCAGGCTCACAGCTACAATGTTTATGTAGGGATTTTAAGGATTAAGGATTTTTCACATTTTGGTTGGGTACTGGATTCACTGTGGGGCAATTATTAGTACTAATGCCCTTTAAACATATATTTTTTGCATGTTCTTTTCATTCTTCAAGAAGGACTCTCTCAGTGCTTGACTGATTGACCTTTGCAGTTAAGCACAAGCATGTTTTTTCCTCATTTTCTTTGTATGTTGAACCGTGACAAACTGCCTGTCTGTTCAAAATACACTCGGCTTTTCAACATTTACTACTTGAGATATAATCCAAAGGGCTTTTTCATCTAACATATTTCTTTTATCATAAAAATAACCATTTCCAGTTGTGTTTATTTGGGAAAAATAATGTGTTTTCCACCAAAATGGGACCAATAAGAAAATGCATACTAAAGTAATAACCCAGGTAGAAGAGATAAAAACAATTTTGGCAATGAGTTATTCACGTTTTCCTATATGTAAAACAACATTTAGATCTTAAGAATCTAAACTTCTGTGGAGTTTAGATAAAAGGATTAAAATTGGGTTCTTTAACTCTCAGCATCAAGTTAAGGTGGATACAAGATGTGCCCTGGTTGACGGATCATTGAGAATTGTGTGCAAATCATACTAGTGCATAGATTGCCTTTATCCCAAAGCTATGGCATGCATTCTGGTCATTTCACCATCATAGCACAAATTTTTACTCAGTTTGAATGTTTTATATCTACAGTATTGATGTCTAACATTAATACACTGAAACACCATGTGGGAAGAGATGCTGATAAAATTTCCTTATAAAATGTTTTAAACTTAACAGGTGGTTGCAGGCGTCTACAACAGTATAAATAAAAGCAGTAAAGTAGGTGTAAGCTTACCAGTTGGTTAAAAAAACTGGGGGAAAGCAGCCAAGTTAAAGGTAAGCATTAATACATGCCTACACAAGAAATGTTGTTTTTCAGTATTAATTATTATAAGCCTGCGGAGTCCTACTGAAAGAGATTCCATTTATTAATCTGATTTAACAACTATTGGGCTGCAAAATGTAAGATCTTATGAGTCAAGTATGAAATGAAAGAGAAAAATGAAAGGTGTTGTATGAGTGTTGAAACAGATGGAGGATTCTTACCCACACACTGCAGGGAGACAGTCTTTGGACAGGAATAGCTTCATAATACAACAAGAAACACATGCCAATTAACATAGGGACACTCTTTAAAGTAACAATATCCCACATGACAAAATAAAGCTATTTTACCTTGTGTTTAAGTGAGCCTGAATAAGAGGAGATGAAGATTTGCCGGACAGGTTTAACCCAATAGAGTTCTTGTAATCAATTTCTCCACTCGAATAAGACCTAAACAAAGAGTGTCAGGTTATTAAGAGAATGAAAAAGCAAACAACCCAACATAGTAGAAGTTTAATCAAATTAATTCCTGATTGAGTTTGGAAACAAATTATGGTTGTGACAAATTAAGACACAATAGACATTTTGTAAAGACATCATTTCAAGTCAAAACAGGAAGTAGTATGGGGGTTAAATTAGACAGAGATCTGTGGTAGTCTAAAGTATGAAAATCAGATATTCATTAAAAACCTATAATACTGGATAAACAAAAAAGTTTTAAAATGTTTTTACTCATTGTATTGTGATTTATATAATTGATAGCTGGTTTAATTGGTTTAACTGTTTACTTCCTGAATCCAAGTTGTGAGCAGACATGGTCAGCAATATTTGTGTTCCAGCCACTGTGACACACTGGCAGGAAGCGTCCCTCTTGAGCTATTTTGACCTCGAGGCTATTGTCTTCACCAAATCGCACTAGACAAGACATAAAGGGACACTAAATGGTTATGAAGTACTAGTTTTTGGACAGATGAGTTATTTTACATAATGAATACATTCCTAAAAAGCCCTGACCACATGCACACCTCTTTTTTTTTTGAGCAGCTATGCATGGCTCACAGTTTTAAAGTAATCATTTCAGTCTATTAAAAAAATCTGCATTTAACAGTCTTTTTTAATTACGGTGTAGCTGGAAAAGTCTGATATGCACTGGCCAAACTCACCACAGTTTGTTTCATCAGAGCCCTGTGTGCAGTCAGTTACCGCATCACACTGGACAGTGTTGTTGGAGCAGGTGTCCTGCTCAGGTAAAACCTCGTTTTCATCAGGATCATATTTTTCCTCATCACCAGCATACTCTGTGTCTGGTAACGTCCTGGTACCATAATGAACTGGAGAACAGATAGAAAGGGTTATAAATGGTATTAAAAAAAACATTAGAATAGAATAGAATAGAATAGAATAGAATAGAATAGAATAGAATAGAATAGAATAGAATAGAATAGAAAATCCCTTTATTGTCCCACAATGGGGTAATTCTAGTGTTAAAGCAACATTACAGCAAAAGTGGTCACACAAATGTGGAACTTTAAATTGTATTAAAAAAATAACAGAGCTAAATAAAAATAAACAAAATAAAATAATGTACTGTGCAGTGTTTTTTCAAATATAATCAAATAAAAAATTCTAATCAAAATGCATTTGAAATAAAAAAAATAAAAAATGTGTGTGTACTGTAACTCTCTCCTTCCAATCACTGGCTAGTACATTTGTAATTATTCCATCAAAAAAATCATTGATGGTTTATCCATTGATGAATATTAATGTTAATATTATTTTTTCCCCAAATTTTGATAAACATGTTGATTTATCTTAGTAATTATTGATAATCAGTCTTATAAAGAAAATAAGGCATTTTTAAATAACAATATTATAGTTCCTGACTGGACAGAACTTTGGAACATTTTGGTTTATTTGCTGTTAAGGTTTTACATGCCTGGCTTTAGGTGACTTACAGTACATGTACCATGTAGTTTTCAGAGATCACAGCCTATTGGGGAGTGGCGGCCTAGTGGTCAGGGCATGGAACTTGGAATCCTGAGATTCTGAGTTTGAGCCCCACTCCCACAAACTGCCACTCTCACTCTCTGAGCAAGACCCTTAACCCAACACTGCACCCCGGGCATCCTGCGATGGCAGCCCACTGCTCCCCAAGAGGATGGATCAAATGCAGAGGTAAATTTCTCCAATGTGAGATCAATAAAGTTCAACTATTATTACTGTTATTTTTCTATTTTTGTTTGTGTTACAGGTCGCACGATTTATTTTGATGATCAAATTGGGTGTTCCCTAACAATTGAGCTATTCAAAATCATGTTCAAAGTAAAAGAAAGACTGCATTGCCTGCTTTGTTGTGTTATACCGCGTGTTCTGTGCAATGTGCCCAGACAGGTCTTGTTGTGTGGGATGACTAAAAATTATTTTACTTTAAATGCCTTCCTCTGAATCATTTGAGTGTAACCATGCCAGAATCAGCCAAGTACTTACAAGCAAATTACATCTTTTGGAAAGTATCAGACTTTATGTCAAACAAGAAATATCTTTTAAATAAGACACATCTGTGTTCCACCTGACAAAACTTTCTAAAAATTATGGCAGCTTTTTCAGCCACTTCTACCCCATGTTGGAACAGTTTATTGGCTGAACTTCAGGAAGTTTCTAAACAAAACCATATACATAAAAAAAACATGCAATACTATTTAACACAGGAATTAAGCTCACAGTCAAAATACCCTGATGATTGTTTGCTAACAATACAAACCAAGAAGAAAGGGAAGAAATAACCAACACATGGACACTTTAGGCTGCTGTGTCATGTTTCATAAGGGTTTGGAAATGACATATTAAAGGAAACTACTATTTATGACTACATTCACTGATATGCATGTAGAGAAACTTTACCTCCAAGCCAAATGGCAACTCCCAGCAAAGCAAGCACCAGAACAGCTGCCGCAGCCGCCTTGTATACCTGCGTGTTACTATTACAGCCGTTCTGCTTTTTCTTAGGTGCTGTAAAGAAAATACAAGTCAATAATAAAACATTCAGATTTTCAAGGTTTAAAGTTGTTGCAAGTTTCACTCACATGAACTTGGTTTAGAGACAGGGAGAGCAGCTACAGCTGGGGGGTACTGAGGGATGTAACGGGGATGGTTTGGGAGTGCCGGGCCTGGGTTTGAGCCATACACACCCCCTTCATATGACTTGTGGGGTGGCTGAGTGTGTGAGTAGTAGGGAGGAGGAGGGGAATCCTATGGAGGGAAAAAAAGGAGAAAATAAACCATAAAACAGAACAGCATCTGATGAGAAGTGTTTGTTAATTTAATCAAATTTTCTCCTCATAAAAACAGTGGATGTTTAATATATGATAAGCCTAAAAACATAAAATACCTTGCTCTTGTCACTCACTTTTAGATTCAATTTGTAACCGGATCTAAAACCTTTTTCTCACCAGCCACACATTTTTATCTCTCCTTAGTTAAAACGTTCAAACATATCAGAAATTCCTAAAAAGCCTAATCAGTATTTCTGTTTTTAAGATAGAATGTGTGATGTCAATATGCAAATAAAAGGTGATAAGAATGTATGGAATATTAAAATTGAGCTTTGCAGAGGAGAAACTCTCACAGGTGCTTCAAAAAAATTCATAATGATGATTTGGCATTTCATTCTTTAAACAACCTGTTTCACCCAATAAATAGTTGAAGTTTAGCTATTGTTAGCTATGTTGAATATGCAGTAAGATACCTGTATGAGCCAAATTTCATTAGAAAAGATTCCTATACTTAACTGGAAGTTATTAAGAAAAGGAGAGCAGGAGTACATTTAATTTTCCAAATCAACCTCACAGGTCAAGAATTTTATTGAAATCTTGTATGATTGACCATGACCATGTAGAGCATAACAATTGCCAAGGAAAAGGGAAATAATATAATTCTTATAAATCTTAATTTGTGTTTTCAAGCCCTCTGTGTTTATACTTTGTAGAACTTCCTTTGTTTACAGTTTTAAACGGCTAAACCTCAGTTTTACCTAACTAAGCAAAAATTCTGACAATAGTTTTGAGTTGGAATGCATAGAGTTTCTAGCAAATGTGCCCTTTTTGGGGAGTTTTTTGGGAGTTATGCCTAAGCCTCAAGTCCTTGTCGAAGCACCACATGATCAAGGATGGAAACAAAAAAGAAACCTGCCATGGCCCCTGCAGAGCTGTTAGTTTTTTATGACTTTTCTTGACTATTGTTAGTCTTCCAGTCAGCACAGCTTCTTAGCTGCTTCTCTAATTGATGTTTTACCTACTTGGCCAATCAGTTAAGGTGGATGGCCTTTTCTTCGTGGATCTATAGCATATCTCTAAACTTTTCATTTTCAGATGATGTACTAAATAATGTGACAGAGCAGAGTCCTGCACTGAGTCAGTTACCTGCGGTTATCAGGCAGGTACCTATATAAAACGTACATCTACAGGTAGAAAAAAAAGACATATTATTATCATAGATGAACAAAATACGGGTATCATAGAGTTATAGCATGAATGACATTTATATATATTTTCTTTTCTATTAACTCGACATTTTGAAAAATAAATTAAAGAATATGCAAATAACAGTATTGTTTTAAGCAAAGAGGCAAACCTTCTCACTTGTGCCAATTTACAGCTGTTAATCTGTGAGTGCAGCGTGCACTGGATGTGAGTGAGAGGCAATGTTCTTTTCTGCCTCTGTTATTATAAACTGCTGTGTGCACATTTTGTGATCATGGGTCGGGTCTCACTTTATGATTTGTAAATCCCTTTACTGTCCCACCATGGGTAAATTCATCCTCTACATTTAACCCTTCCCCTTGGAGAGCAGTGGACTGCCATTGTGTGGCACCTGGGGAGTAGTGTAGTGTTAAGGGTACTGAACCAGGTACTTGCAAACTTTCAGAGCACATGCGCACTGCTCTAACCCACTAGGCCACACACAGTTTTAAACGGGGATAATTGAGGGAAACGGGTCAGGTCTAGGTTCTAAACTCTATGGGTGCAGGCGGATACAGTTTTGAAAAATCAGACCCATGCAGGATTCTGCCACAGTGTGATATAGAAAACATGTAAAATTGTTTTCCTTACCATATCTAACTCTGCAACATAATCCTAATCCTCATCTTTTTCTTGCATCATTTGGTCTTCATGTGGTTATTTCTACTCAAAGATTTCTCTCTTTCCTCTAAAGAACTTACTCTAGTATAAAAAATTTAAATGTTTGGATACTTTTCCCATTTCTGAAAGAAAAACAAACTGTTTGTTCTTTGTTTTCAATATTCTTTTCCAATAAGTATTTTGAAACTCATACAGTTACATCATTTTGACTGCCTGTTCATGATATAATGCTTAAAATTAGTGTATGTGGTGTAAAAATGTTACGAGATACATCAGATTACTACAACAGAGTAAAAAATAGTACATGGAGATTTGAGGGGTAGATTAGATAAATACACCTACAAACATGTCATTGATATAGTTTCATACAAAATCTAAGTTGTTGCCCAACACTTCTTTTTAGGTACTATAGTTGTAGTTCTTAATATTAACTTACTTAAGGTATCTTACATCTGTAAAAGTAAGCATTCTTTCATTATTGCTTGACATTTTCCTTAATCCGGGGAGGTTAATCAAAGACAGGCTGGAAAGAAACATACCTGAAAGCTATATGTAATGTTACAGAACCTGTTTGAGTTACTGTGAGCAAGTGCTTTTAACCTCACGTAGAGAAATGTGACCAAACAAGATTTTGACGGGTCATTTCTCCGTTCCTGATAGAGAGTATCTGGTTGTGCTACTTTAGAAGAAACATGGTTTTAAAGCTGTGCTTATATTGTGAGAGTCCTAGGCCTACAATTAAACATGAGTTTTTCTAACTATTTCTTATTTTTGTTTGTTCTTGTTATTGCTATTAGCAAAGAGGGTCAGATAAGTGAAGGGTTTGCACTAAATAATCTAAAGAGAACACAGAGAAAGTTATTTCAGACGATTGTTTTCACAGCATGCAACTCAAGTTTCAAAACCTTTTCAAAGATACTGTAGGTTACACCCGACTTTTGTCTTGTTAGGGTTTTGGTCTGAGCAGTGCTTACAGTAGATGATCATATTGCATGGTTTATATGCACTCTTTATCAATGTAATGTCTGTGTAAAATAATACAACAAAATAAAAATATATATATGTACGCAAATCTGTATTTTCATAGCTTATTTTACTTTTGTGTTTGTAAAGAATATTATGTATATGAAGCTATTAATAATATATTGATAGCAGTCAGGGTTCAACATTTTATTTTTCATAATATGAAAAACATTGTGTTCTTTTTGCTCATCATTAAATTAAAGATATTGCTACACAGTTTGAATGAGTTATTAAATAAAAAAAATAAGACATAATATGACTTTCAGGGCTGAATAGTGAAGGATTTTTTATATGAATTAGTAAGTCACTGAAGATCACATAAGAAATCTAATTTTCAAACGCAAAAAAATATATATATTTTTTAGAACACAAAAATAATCTTTTGCTTTTATTTAAGATGTTATGAATTAAACCAATTTAAGCCAGTCTAGATGTTAAGACTGAATCCTTCATTATTTAAGTTTGCTGTTTGTCAGTTAAATTAAAACCTGTTGAATTACAGCCAATACTTAATTCACAATTCTTCATCATTCTAATCATAGCATAATTTCAGACAATATATGACTATGTTTCAGATCCAGGAAACAAAGAAGAAACGCAGACATTATTCAAAGCGACAATTTGAATTTAATCAGAAGAGTTCCCGAAACTGAGTCAAAGATAAAAACTGAGGTAAACACTTACCCCATGATTCTTTGCCATTGTAATTTCGTCTGCAACAACTTGAGTAGATGAGAACGAGTGGGTGGAGCTTTTCCAAAACCAGGTTAACTTTGTCACTGAGCAGTGTTCAGAGCATTGTGATAAAACATTAAACTTCTCTTCTAGTTTTTGTCTGATTGTAAACAACGTGAAGTATTAACTATAAGGAGTGCACTTTTCTCTACCTCCATAACACCTCCCTCTTCCAGCTTCTGTCAAAGATTTGTTCTGCTGCTCAAAAAAGTGGGAGTGCCCAGAGCACCAGTTTTCTACCTGCCAGACCAGTTTTGTTAATGCTGGTTTCACAATGTGACTCTGCGTCATGGCTCAGATTACTTCAACTCATATGGTAAAGCTTTAAATGCCAACAAGCCTCCAGAAAAGTACCACAATTGTATTAATTTTACTTTTTGTAAAACTTTAAAATCTTGAATGTCAGTTTCTAACATGCATTGAATGTGCTTGATCAGCAATCAGTGGATTAACCTAAAAGGCATGTCATAGATCATTCACCCAGAGAACACAGAAATTGTAGAAATACTCAGTCTCGATGTTAAAGCCAAAATCTTTATAATAAATATTTTAGTTTTAAGCAACAAGATTTTAACATGGAATTCAAATCTTTATCAAAGTGTTCGCTAACTTTTAAAATAATCTGAATACATCTGTTGTACTCTGTTTGCATGCAAATTAATATACACTCCAATTTGCATTGGGCATTGACTGGAAAGATTATTTACCAAACCTTGTTAAATGCTGACAGAATTAACATAAAAAATAAAATACATTTTCTCACTTTCAACCAAAGCTCTGAAGAAAGGGAAGATTCTGGTTTTGGGAATTCTATCCTTTTGAGTATATTTCTTACTTCCAGCTGATGTCAAAGGCATCTATGCTGTTAAGCACTACATGTCAACTTGTCTCTTAATTATATTCCAATCTTGACCTATAGTTCTTAAGTTACTGAGGTAAATCTCACTATAGATAAAATAGTCTTTGAATTTAAAGCAAATCACTGCAAATTATTATTTTTTTTTCTCTCTGCAGTCATGTATTCGTAATTTTTAGCTTCTTGAAAGGGAGCTATTGGTATAACTGTTTTATTACTGGAATGTCAGGGATGCCTTCACCAAACTGGAGACATCAAATTTAGGGTAATGAACATTTAGTTTATTTTTTTAAATTTAGATGTTCAAATAGAGGTTTACAACAATATTTTGGTCTTGATACCATTGTAGTTAAATGGAAACACACTTGTCGGTTTATTTTAAGGTTACACCTTAAATACATTGCTGTTTTGTATAACATTGAAAATGTAGAAGAAATAAAAAAAAATGTCAAAAAGAGGATTGCGGAACTGACAAACCGAATAATATCCCAAATAAATGATGGTGCCACAGCATTTGATAGGAAAACTGGTACAGCTGGGCTTCAATACATCCCTCTGCAATTGGCTGTTAGACTTTCTCACAAACAGACCTCAATCAGTCAAAACACAGACAGAACACCACTGATTTAATCACCCTAAGCACAGGCTCCCCTTAGGGCTGCGTCCTGAGCCCCCTGCTGTTCACTCTGATGACACACGACTGCGTTCCCAGGTTCACCACCAATCACATCGTGAAGTTTGCAGACAACATCACGGTGTTGAGCCTCATCAGATAGACAGTAACAACACCTAGGACTGCAGAGAGGAGGTGGAGAAGTTGATGGGCTGGTGCAGAGACAAAAACCTGATCCTGAATGTGGAGAAAACAAAAGAGATCATCTTGGACTTCAGGAAGAACTGGCCTAACCACGCTCCACTGCTCATGAACAGCTTAGCTGTAGAGGTGGTCAGCTACACCAAATTCCTCGGGTTGCAAATCAGAGACAACCTCATCTGGACTGTGTACACCTGCTCACT